CATTGGAAGCCATGGGATAAAGGTTTGAAAGTGTTAATCAAGAAATAAAAGATAAGTATGATGGAGAAAGCAAAGGACACATTTTGGTGTCAATTTAGTTCTTATGACATGGAGGCCACATAACATAAGCATGTTTAACTGATAAAGAGAATAAATTAATTAACATTTTACAAATTTAGGAATTAATTTAAAATTTCATTTATATTAGAAAGTAAATTAACGTTTCTCTCTACAATTTTAAGAACCAACTTCTATATTTACTCTACTTTTAGTAAATAAAAATGATGCAAGTGAAATCACATAAATAACTAAGGAATTGTCTCTAACCTATTCATGCTCCTAAATAATGTCAAGGAGTTTACAATGTAAAGTCAACATTCATTATGTTTGTCATAAGGGCAAGTACATCTTCAATATTAACGATATAGATATAGATATCATTAAGGTCTTAGTTATCAACAAAAGAAGAACTCCCCTGAAGATTAATCATTAGTTTTAAATCCTTGTCATTCAAAATTGTAATGAGAGTCATGTTATTTCCAAGAATGAGATACTTGATAGACACACTATCAACTCTAATATTAAACATTTCTATCACTTCCACCTTGAACTCATCTAAATTCATTTAATTATCAATGAGAATAACCCACCTTTATATGACAAATAACCATTTATCTCGGTTACAAACTTGTCACTAGATTGACATATTACAATTATCTTCATGTAGCTATGATCTAACGCAACACAACGTATCATTAAAATCTCAAATGAAAAAAATGTTTCAAAAATAACTACAACAATATAAGGTAGGCGAAGTGTAGAGAACATTTAGTAATATCCTAAAACCTTAAGTGAAAACTAATTAGTTTTAAATTTTTATAAATGCTACAAAGAGAGAATAATGAAAAATTCAATTATTTTAGGACTATCAATAGCTAATTCAAATATTTATAGCTAGATACGAAATGTTTTTCTTTCTTTTCATATTTAAGACAAAGCATTAGAGCAATCATAATAACGTTCCATTACCCTCCAACAAGAATTGAATTTTAGGTAACAAGAACCTTATTTTGTTTCTTGTATTTCAATTTTGAAGGGGTATGATCATCAATCAAAGTATAACTCTAAAATAAAAAGAAATGTAAATGAAGAATAGTGTAAAGATACTAGATGGATTCAATTGTGATAAAAGTTGAATCTCAAAGTCAAATAAAATTTATGTGTAGAATTTGGTTAGAATGTTACTTGATGTTCTATATATAGGTTAGAGACAATATTATATCATATCTTAAAGACATATTATGATGATTGTATAATGATATTGTTCTTGATAAATGAAGATATTATTGTTGACAATATGATATTAAATTTTGCTCAAAGATACTCTTGTAACCTACGATTTCAGTTTCACTTTGTGGTACTCGTGGACGAATTTGTATCCAATTTGGCTTGATTGAGTTGAGTTGAATATACACATCCAAAATTTTAATACTCTCTTTTATTTTTCTATTTTTTGTCAACTCATTAAAAAGTTGAGTTTTCAGACTTAACTTCTTAACATTTTCTTTATATTTTTTTTAATTTTTATTTTGGAAATTAAGAATAATTGATTATTAATTATTAAAAAATTGAAATATAACTTATAGTTTAATACATTTAATTTATCATTACATTATTAAAAAATTGTAAATTGCTTCTGTAAATAAAAACATGAAATTAATAAACATATAATGTACAAATAAATTTATTTATTTGTGTGGTGTAATTATTTTTATTAAAAAATATTTATTTATTTTTACAATATTTATAATTTATTTACAACTTAAATAGTGCTAAATAATTTGAATTCCAAATATTCAAAAAGAGAAAAGTACAAACGAGTGAAGGAAATAAATTTAATTTAATTTAAAAATATTAAAAAGAAGAATAACAAATAGTATTTAAGTGGATAAATCTTCTTTACGAGTTTGTGCGACCTTAGACCTACAATAATTACATTTCTTTGATGGAGGTCGATTCATGTAAGAATGTGGATGAATGGTAGAAAATTTGATTTTTGTATTAGCATATATTTATCCTGAATGATTAGGCCTATTTATTCATTTGCATACACTTCAATAAACTTTCGACAACAATCAACGTTCATTTGCATAAGTTACCATGAGAAATGCTTAATTTATGTTATATTCTTATTTTCTTCCATTTAAAATATTATATTGAGAATAGTATTTAAATAAGGCCTTAATTTCTAACTATAAAAGTGATATTCTTAATTTTTTTATTGATTTCATTTTATCTTCTTTTATAATTATCTATGAGTTGAATTTCAATATTTTTAAGAGAATTTTAATAGTTAAATATAAAACATGACATTATATTAAGTTAAATATAATTATCTATAAATTAAATTAAAAAAATTGACCTAAAAGATTTATTTTATGTAATATATATGGATAGAATAGTAATTATGATTATTGTTAGACATAAGAGTAATTTTGAGAAAAATATTACCCGAAAGACAAATCTAACAAATCTACCCTATACATTAAAATAACTATATTGAACGATTGTTTTTAGGCATCATCATCAAACAACAATTAACTGTTTTTCTGCAATAGAATTATAGAATCATCTTTTTAGAATTCTTTTTTTTTTTTTTAACTACTTGTCTTCAAGAATATATTATTTTCATCTCAATTTAATATTATTTTTAATTTCGTTCCTAATTGTTCATAATGATTTGAGAGCTTATTCATATTCAGCTCATGTTGTTTTCCCCCGAAGCTTTTAGAATTTTACTCCTTTTTTTTTATATCATTTACTATAAAAAAAAAAAAAATCTATCTTAAGCAAATAGAAGCGAGTATCTTTACGTTTTGTTTAAAGGAGGAGGAAGAATGGAAGGGAATGAAAAATAATAGGTAAGAATTGATTTGATAAGAAATATATAAAAAATAGTGTGAAATTTATAATTATTTGATAGAGTTGAATCAAATAAAAAAATATATATATTATTTTAAAATTATATTTTGTATAATTATATTTTATGTAAAGATATATTATTTAGATAATTACATTTTTATTCTTTATTAACTAACTATTTAGATAATAGTAATGAGAATAGTCTTATCTAAACATTTTCTTTGTTGAAAAATTTCATATAAATTCACTCATAAGAGAGTACTTTCACATAAATCTCACTACAATTTTCTTACAAATTTACTTAAATTATCTCCTTCAAACACAATTATTTTTTTTTTAATTTCTGAATAATTTTTCCTTTTTTTTCTCTATTAAATCACCTTTCCAAAACACACTATTATTGAAAATATTTTTCTAAATTATTTTTCTATCAGAAACATTTTTCAAGATTTTTTTTTCATAACATCGTATCTTTTATGTTATTATTTTTTACCGTATAAAAATTTATAAGTGTTTATGATCGAGTTAGTTTAAATTTGAGTAAAAATCTAATTAAAATTAATTAAATTTATTTAGTTCATATCGATTCAAATTTCATTTTTTTTTTACTTAAGCCGAAGCACACTAATTCGATGTAGATTAAGTGATAAGTGTTTACAATGTCAAGGAGTTTACAATGCAGAGTCAGCATTCATGATGATGACACAGAACAATATTCAAAAGAAAGTTATTATAATGATAATTGATAAGTGTTTCTTTTATTAATTATTAGTAGGCCAGTACAAGTACCAATGAAAATTCTTACAAGTTATAAATATCTGTGACATGTTAAAATTAGATAACGTCCTCTCTGACTCACTCCCCCTACTTACACTAGCAGAGAAAATTTTTCTTATTGTGCATGATGTGATTGCATACTTACAACTCATCCCAATCTCCCTTGATTCGTAATCATGTAATAGCAGACAACACTTTTTATTGCATTATCTACAGAAACAGAAAGCAAAGCACTACACTTTGTTTCTTTACCTTTCTTTCAGCCGGAGAGGTAGCTTCTCACTTATCAGCAGTCTAAACTTTTCATTGTTTTACATGACAAACAACAACATTATCTACCAACCTTCAAAATCAATTTAACTTATTTAAATGGAACAATTTACGGATGAATTGAAAATACACTACCCAAATGATCAAATAATGCACAAAGGTCACCAACACTTGTATTCTTCCATTTCTTTTTGTGGCTTAGAGATTTAGAAGGGACACTTTTTGCGTATACAATGCATCAGCCTTATCAAGGGTGACTGTGCAACCACTCTATTTCTCTCTCTAAACTGCTTTGCTTTCGGCAGCATACCTAGTCAGAGAATGCTTTTGATTAAGTTGAAACTTGAAAGGAGAGAAGGTAGATTAAGATTAAGACTATTCCACATGGGTTGTCCCACCCATGTTGCATAAATATTGTAAAATTAAACAAGGGTTGCATATGACTAGCACAGAGCATAAACTTTATGTGGAAAAAGAAATGGCAAAAGCCAATAACCAAAATAAACTTTTTGGTCCTACTCAGCTCAATAAATTCCTGGCGATTTCATCTTGTACTATTAATCTATCCCTAATGGTTTTTGTTTTTGCTACCGACGAAGACTTGTTTTGGTAAAAAAAAAAAAAACATCATCGACCAACTTTAGATCGTTAATAAGCACTCAAAAGCTCACAGTAATCCACATTACCGCTTGATCTCATCTTAATTAAAGCAAAACCATTTTCTTTTGCTACCCCTTTTTTTTTCCTCTTTTTCTTGTTACCCTCAAAATATCACTTTCTTAATTTATAAAAGTGGTCCAAAATAATTCCTCAATAAAAGAATGTTAACTTATTTCCTTACAAAGTTGAGTCTTTCATGCATTGTTTTCTTGCCTAATTTTCCAAGAAGAAATTAATAATTCCCGCCCCTAACACGTGGTTTGTACAATGGCCAGTCAGAGAATCCAAAAGCACTAACCCTTAGCCACGGAACACCAACACATAATCACATGTGAATAATCAAAATTAAAGGGTATGGTGTCCCTGTATTCGTCATGCACACATTCATGTAAAGATGGAGAAGAAATAAAATGCATGCTGATTCTCCATACTGTTATCAGACCAACTCAATCCTTTGTGACAAAGTAACATCGTCCAATCTAATATCATATCTTTTCTTTTTTTATCATAACAACTTGGTCGTCCTTCTTTTTTGACACCTTTTTCTTCCCTTCTCACTCATCACCTTTATCTTCAACACCCCCCGCCTCTCTGGGCTTTTATTCACGTTCAATGCCATTGACATGTCCTTAAAGCACTGAAGCTGCATGAATCACACTGACATTCCAATAAGGTCACTCTTCTACTTTCTAGTTACACTCTCTGATAATGGCCAAGGAAGCTTCACTGTGCCTCTTGTTTCTCTCCTTTCTCATTATCTCGTGTTCTGGTGAGTAGCCGACACTGATAATATCTCACAACACTAATCATATTTATTATGGTGAATATTCTTGATAATAGTCCAAAATTAGTAGTTCCTCTTTTGATTTGTTTGCTTGTTGGTTTCGGTCAATTATGTATGTTGAATTTTTGTCTTTAGTTTTAGGAGTTAGGACTACCTTACTTTGTTCTTGTAGAAATCAAAATCGGTGGAGGCAGTCAAATTCGAGTGAGAAACAAAATTGGACTTGTTCTCATTGTGATTCTTTTGTTTCACTCTTTGCAGGATCTCTGGTGGGTTTTTCCTACCGTGAGAGAGGAGACACTTCAACATCTGCTAGAACCATATCATTCCTTCAGCAAAACAACGTTTCATCCTCTCAGATTCGAATTTTCGTCACAGATCACAGGATTTTGAGCACTCTCAGCAACTCCAACGTGCCAACTGATTTGTACTTGAACAAAAGTGAAGTTGAAAATTTCATTACTTCTAAACCCTCTTCACTAAAACCTCATCTACTTAACTTTCTCCCACGTTTAAACATCAAGAGCATCATTGCTAGCTGTGGCAGTGAGTGCCTAGCAAAAAATGAGATGCCTTTGTTCTTGCATGCTTTGAAATCAATTGGTTCAGTTCTCAGGGAGCTTCACATAGAGAGGGAGGTAAAAGTCTCAGTAGCATTTCCACTTTCACTCTTGGAAAAGCTGAATGCATCACATGAAAACGATATCCGTAGGATTCTTTCATTTATAAAGGAAATGAAATCCTTTGTCATGGTAGAAGACAGTATTGATGGAGAATTTAGCATGGGAGATCACTTTGTTCATGCAATTATCAAACGAGCCACTCTTGCTGCTTCCATTCTTCCTTGCAAAGATGTTCCCCTTGTTATAACAATAAAAACCACAGTTATCAAGGAAATAACTCAATTTAGTGAGAGAGTATCCAAATCTCTAGAAGCAAAAACTCATATTACAAAAAGAATAGCTGCATTATATGCAGAGGTGTATACAACAGAAGATTTTGCAAGGAAAGAGGAAGAAGTGTTTCCTCTAAGTAAATCCAACAAAAGGAGAAGTCTAGATGACACAACCAACCCAACAAACACAGTTTTCCCCACAAATCCAGCATCATCTACACCAATCATTACACCCCCAGATACACCAACTATCATCACAGTTCCTGCCACAAATCCTGTCACAATTTCCCCCTCCAATCCTGCTGCAATGCCTGTGACAGTTCCTTCAACCACACCTGTGCCTCCAACTCCCACAAATCCAGCCAATTCACCAGTACCAGTGAGCAATCCAGCTACAACAACTCCTGTAGGGATACCACCACCAGTATCCAACCCTGTGACATCTTATCCACCTCCATCAGGGAATGCTCCTGTCATAAACCCTCAACCACAACCACCTCCTGCAAACACCAATGCTCCTGCCACTCAGGGACAGAGTTGGTGTGTGGCAAAGCAAGGAGCTTCTGAATCTGCTCTTCAATCAGCACTGGACTATGCTTGTGGAATGGGTGGGGCAGATTGTTCCCAAATACAGCAGGGTGGGAGTTGTTATAGTCCAGTTACTTTGCAGAACCATGCTTCTTTTGCCTTCAACAGCTACTACCAAAAGAATCCAGCTCCAACAAGCTGTGACTTTGGAGGGACTGCCACCATGGTTAACACAAATCCGAGTAAGATCTTAATAGTTTTAACAACCTTATTTTATTTTATTTTTATTTTAGGATACATGCTATTTACAACTTAGGTAGACCTATGACATAAACACTTATCTAAGAGTTTTAGACAACTTATAAAAAATAGTTGTGATATGTCCATAAGCTATTTTCATCTTCCTTCAACAAGCTATTTAATGACTTATCTAAATGACTTGCAACTTAGATGAAAATAGTGTAGAGATTAATGATCAAGCACCGATAGTATAAAATTGTTTTATACTGTCAATTAATTAAATTTATATTTTGTAATTAAGTTTATATTTTCTAATAGTTTAACTACATTTTCTCTTTAATTATTGAAACAACTCATACATAAATGCTTATGTAATAAGTACTTATCGGCCATTTTTAACTGGCTCTTATGAATTATGAATAGGTTCGGGTTCATGCATTTTCCCATCATCATCAGCATCATCAACTACAACAACGCCAAAGTCATCACCCCCAACACCACCTACACAATCAAGTCAAACAACACCACCACCAAGTCCAGTAACACCTTCTCCATCAATTCCAACAGTGCCACCACCAACATCGTCAACTTCCGGAACAGGCCCTTTCGGGTAAGTTAGACAGCAAGTTTTTCCCGGTTTCAATAATAATGGCACCAATAAGCATACTAATAATGGTCCTATATAACACTACCTTTTTGTAGGTATGGTACCCCACCTTCAGTGTTAAATTCCAGCAATCCAGCCTCAGGTACAATGCCAGGTTTTGGGTCTGAAACCCCTCCTGTTGTAAATACAACGTCGGCATCACATTCTGTGGGTTTGAGACCTTCTCTTGGCTGCATTGTTCTGATGGTATCATTTGTCACTATGAGACTCACTATGCACCCATAGAGTTCAAAAACATGATTCCTATTCAGGTCATAGTATATGAGATGCTGAATAGTATCTCTAGTTACACGTTGGAGTTGTAATGTGTCATTACATTAGATGCAGTGCGTAGATCTGTAGGTGCAGAAAGACATTAGAGTAAGAACGGAACAAAAGAATATAAGTGATTATGAGTAGCCAAATGATCATGGATTAGGTGAAGGTGAGGGAATTTCTACCGTGGAAATAAATAACTGCTGCTATGGTATCTAGGTTGTACAACGGACTGTGGACAATATTGGTCATGTACATAAATTTTGAAAGCTAGTAGTACTTTTTCTTGTGAGAGTTTGCAGTTCAGTGTAAATTGGTCATCAAAATAGCCCCATTTCAAAATTTGTGGAGATAATTATGATTTATGAGACACTATCAAGGTTAGATAGATGGATTATATCTCCAATTATGATGCATCTCTTCTTCAGGACGTACCAATTCAAGATTATGTTATTCTTTCTTTTATCTGTAATACCTTATGACTTATGTTGTATTTTCCTTTCCAGAAGTTTTTAGTTTGCTTTCTTGGGACTCCGGTGCTTTGCCCGTCACAAGAAAATAAAATGATAGATGTATAAAATTTGCGCAATGGTCCATTTATAAGGCAAATGCTATGGTGAATCACAAAAGGCTTGTGACTCTCTCAGACAATGAGAGAAACCACGTCAAATGGTTTCATTTTGGCCCTCACTTTAGAATTCAGACAAAAAAAAAAAAAACTATTGATACCTATGTATATGTAATATTTTAAACAATTATTTCTATATTTGCCAAAAAAAAATATATATCTATCTTAATTTTTTTGTTTACACGTATCTGGAAAATATACTAAAAAATTAAAGGAGACAACTCTTTGTTCTATTTTTTCCCCACATATATTTTGGAAACAATTCTATTTAAGACATAGTCATATGTTAAATGCAAACAACTCCTATTAAAGATTCTAACCAATACTTGTCACATTGTGGAAGACTGATATAAGACCAATATGTTTGCAAACTAAACTCAACTTCCATTTGGTATTTCTTGTTCTACTTTAATGTTCAAAAATCATGTTTCACACCTAAAAAGAGCACTCAAGATGTTCTATATATATTTTCATGAATTTATCTTGATTAGAGTGAAAAGATTTATACTGTAAAATAGTAAACTTTAAAAAAATGTAATTTTAAAATTAAAAGGGAGTAACAAAAATTAAACATTTTTTACAAGGGAGAATATAATTTAATATTCTTTTTAATTATAATTTAACCAAAAATTAAAAGTTGACATAGAGAATTTAATCTGGTAAATACTTGGGCTTTTAAAGGTTTTTAAAACAAGGCGAATGTTGAATTGATGAAGATAGCAATTCAAAATTTAATGCATAATTAAACCGGTAATAATTAAATAATATTATTTTAATTTTTAATGTAATTTAAGATTTAATAGTATAAACATAATTAAATCATTAATATTTAAATAATATTATTTAAAAATTTAATATAATATATTAAGTAATATTAAACACAAAAATCATAATATTTATAACTTCATAATATAAGAGTTTAATTTTAACAACTAATTAAAAATAATTTCAGATAAGCTATTACAAAAGAAAACATTAGGTAGGTTATTAAATTATGACAAAACTTTAATATATACCTAAGTATCATGGCGGTTGGTGTTTTCAATTAAAATATCTTTATATTTCAATGATATGTATATTACTGATTTTTGTATTAAATATAAATGTATATTATCAAAGGAAAACTTTAATTTTAATTGAAAAACAATATTAATATTCTACTTACTTAGGTTTTGTCCATAAATTATACTACTACGACATTAAATTTAAAGTAATATTTTGAGATTACATGTTTAACCAATTAACATATTTAAAAACATTTTTTTTTTACTATTTAAAATGCCTGGTCACAAAATAAAACTTACAAACTCTCTTGTATTTTAAAATTTTAAACTATAGTTTAGAAATATTTTACATCAAATATACAAATACGACGTGAACCTTGGGTTCAAAAATTAAGCCAGCTAATCCAGCCTATTTCCGTGCCTAAGTCGATGACATTGGATTCCAATTCTAACGTTAGAGCTCATTCTGTTGAGAGAAAATAAGGAAAAAGCACTAACGTCAATCAGCCAAATCCTCCAAATGCATTGACTTTTAAACCGACACATGTGAGTCACTTTTCTAATATCCGAAGCAGAGTAGACAATTGCCAGCAGAGCAATATAAATCACATTATTAAGTGGCTCATACATAAAATTATTGTGAACGAGGCCCACAACAATTCTAGCCAGCATCAGCATGATATTTTATGGACACGCTAAAGAGCCATCATATCACCTTTTTTGCAGATAAATGTATGAACTAGCCTCAACTAGCCAACAAATAGTAATAAATAAATGCAACCACAGCAGTGTAGTTTTGCAGAGCACCGCAAAAATGCCTTTGAATCCTGATGCTACACTTACATATTGTACAAGCTAAAGCTAGAGTATCTATAAAACTGCGTTTCTACAGCGCAAAATGGTTTATACAATTTCTCTCGACTCTAGAATTTTAAGGTATATAGGTACCTCTATATACAAGAATTGTTTTAAATACGGGAATGGTTTCACCGCCTCGAAAATATGAACTAGCCTCAACTAGCCAACAAATAGTAATAAATAAATGCAACCACAGCAGTGTAGTTTTGCAGAGCACCGCAAAAATGCCTTTGAATCCTGATGCTACACTTACATATTGTACAAGCTAAAGCTAGAGTATCTATAAAACTGCGTTTCTACAGCGCAAAATGGTTTATACAATTTCTCTCGACTCTAGAATTTTAAGGTATATAGGTACCTCTATATACAAGAATTGTTTTAAATACGGGAATGGTTTCACCGCCTCGAAAATATGACCAAGACCAGCATGGACATAGAGACCACGATTTTGAACCCAGAAGTGTCCCAGAAATTATGATTTTGCTTATCTGCAGCCACAACTTCTCTTTGTTGCTTTGCCGCTAATTGATCTCTCAGTTCTTTTATAGCTTTGTCCCGTCGCTCACCCATCTGTTCATAAACCCATACAAATTACTATGAAACATTGATTTGACTGGGACATTAATAAATAAAGTCAAGGATATAAACTTCACCAAGTTGCCCAAGTAAAGGAGGGTTAGATCAAGGAAGTAAATAATAACATGGCATTTTGACAACAAAAAAAAAAAAAAAAAAAAAAAA